CAAAGCACGCGATACACTATCCGGCTAAAACTCATTAATATTTGATAATTTTGTGATCACAAGAACCTAATATTTTAATTGACCTCGAATTAATTCTCCGAACCAGGCTTCAGGTCATTGAGGAATTTGTTAATGGGAGCTTATTTCATCAAAAATACTGTGAGTACACATGACTAACGCAGAGCCGGGCAAATTGGGTAAGTTGGAGGATCGGTAATTCATAAGAAATATGCTTACCCCAAATTCAAAACATTTCTCACGAAATGACTCAAATGTGGAAAGATACAATAAATAACATGGAAGAGTAATATTGACACACAAACAAAATTTAATACATCTTATACCATGTATAATCGGCCGATATTTTTTTTTGGGGGGGGGGCATACCTCCGAGTTCAATCCGCGAAAAAAAGTAAATAAAACGCAGCCATTAACTTGTTTTGAGCTAATTGTAAAGCAAGTGGAACCAATTTAGCAATCGTCCAAATTAATCCACAATAATAATTTTTATTATTTCATACATTGTAATAAGCTCTAAACATTCCATTATGTTCACTCTAAAAATATCAGCCGTCATTTTGAGAAAAACAAAGGCCAGAAATATGTTTCCGTCACAGAGGAGGTAAGAATTTTTCCGGAGAGGTCGACTAATTAGTCGTGTTGTCTAACCCCACTGCAGGAATAAATACATTTTTCTTTACATTAAGGAATAATTGACAAAACCCCCCAAATAATCAGTTTTACTTTGGGTTTTCCTTTTAACCATTCAGTTCGGAACAAGCCAACGAGAACGCCTGTTTAATTACATGCACACCCAACCAGGGGAAGCACAAACATCAACCTGCAGCGTTTAAACACAGGGAATATGGTTCATAAGGTAATTAGTTGTAAACCGTTCGATATTCCAATATTCTAATGTAATCCTTAACCAAGGTCAGTTAGCTCGAATGCAAATAGGTCAATAGTTGTTTTTTTTATCGAGGTCTTTCTAATTTATACACATGCATGTTTGTTAACACTAAGTGTATAAAAAAAAAACGAAAAGCGTAAAAAATACACAAGCAACAATGTTGAGTGGTACAAACATTACAAACTCAAGTAACATATAAATGCAATGATCAACTGAACTGAAATGTTGGAAACGAGACCAAAAACGGAAACCCAAACTCTATGAAATAATTTATGATACCCGCATTAACCAGGTTTTTGTTAATCATTGTCCAATTTATTGGCAGGCAGATCAGGAAGCTATAGTAAATAATTGTTCATTGCAAATCGACCGAATGCGGGAACGTGAGGAATACAACATAATGCGGAGGTCACGAAGCGGCACCTCGTTTCTCGGAAAAAGAAGGACTCCACCCTCCTTTATAAATAGTTTGCTCACGTATTATAACGCACAACTGTTACGTCTTATGGGGAGGGTTTCAACGTGCAGAAATGGACGTTGTTACGATGAAATCGTAAAAGAAACGGTGGAATCAGGTAGGGGAAAAGCGGCGCTCTCTGTTCTGACTATTGGGTTGTAAAAAAAAAAAAAATCACATATGGATATGTGTGAATTGTTTTCGTTTTGCTGAAAGAACGCACACCTTTTTTTGTGATCCGTGGACAGAACTTTAAAAACGGTGGTTGAGTTCAAAACCCGTAACTTGAAAAGTACATGAGTGATGTGAATGATTCTTGTACTAAAAGAAAGCTTATGAATTGAGCTTTCATATCCTCCATTTTCAAAGTGCTACATGCAGAACTTCACTAAAACAATGGTCCCGACATTTGGGTTTCGTTTTTTTTACTCACCCTGTATATCTCCATGGTACAATCCAATCATAATATCATAAGGTCAGGCTCTTTTGTTTAAATTAAAATTCTATAATATCCGCCACAATAAAATAACCAAATTTGTCCTTGCTGCTCTGGCGCCGTGACATCAAATGAATTTCTATCTTGTAAAACTTTTAATTATATCAAAATAATATTTCAAAACTGTCAGTACTAGCAACGCGGTTGCGGAAAATGCACGAAAAAAAATCTCGAAAATAGTTTCGGTGACACCTTTTTTTTCATTCCGAAGATTGTGTAAACATTAATGTAATATTAAACAGTTAGAAAAAAATATGCCCTTACAAATCTATACAGTAATATTAATTACCCTGGATTGGACATTTGGGAGACATCCCCATAGACTTGTGCCCAAATTTTACAAACTTAAATGTGCCCTAACCCAATATTCCCTTGTACCTTTCCCACGAATTTCGCTTTGTTTACTAATTAGACCACGAGCAACAAATATAACCTAATTGCGACATTAAAATAATTGTGCCTCTAAAGGGGGGCTTTGACAATGACCGATGTCTCCAACCATTCGAAGAAATTACGATACCGTGTCTCCTTAATGGTACATTAGTCGTATAATTCTGGTGTTACCGTGTAATAATAGATGATTTTTTTTTTACAGCTCCGCGGTTCAATAGGCCTGCTTCCTAACTACACAAACCAGGCACTTTTACACCGGTTTTGGTGACCGGCTGTTCATTCTTACATCAAGCATGTCAATGGTGCTTCAAAACCGTCCTATTCACATGACCCCAGCCACTATAGGCCTACTTCACCGGGATAACTCTGCTCAAACAACCGGGCCATCCAGCACCACAAACATCTGGTGTTTGTGTAAAATTGTATCATGCCTCACACCGACCTCCATTTTCGTTTCCGCATAAATTTTCTCTGGAATCGAACAAAATTCCGACTATTCGTTTTTGCACCGCGGAATTGAAAACCTTTGGATAAAGCCAGAGAATCGGTTTACGCGGTTGCTAGCGGCTAATTGGTATAAGGTAGCAGACTAGTAAATAAACTTCCATAGACCCCAATAGTAAATGCTCACACTTCCGAAATTCGGGAAAAATACTCACAACTCTCCAAGGTGTTCGAGACACACATCAAATTAAAGCATATTTCATCATCTTTCATTTTCTTTTCAATTTTCGGGGGGTTAACTGATGACTTTTAGGAGAAATTTCCATCCGAAGATGATCACCCCTGAAAATAGTCCTGAAGCCCATCGCCATGTTGAAAAACGATGCCTACACTCCATTGCAAAATAGAGCGCTTTAAGGGCGCCAATTTCATCCAGATTGAACGGAACTACAAGTTCACAGTCCTGTGCACGGCTTCCATCCATATTTTTTTACAAACCCTCAAGTTCATGGCCCACAGCATGCTTAAATACTGAAGATTTTGAGGGCATGCAAATCGTGATGTGGCCGGCGCAGGCAATTTCGGACCGATTTACTGGTCTGCAACCATAAGGTCAAGTAGCCAAGACTCGACAGTTTAGTCTCTTTTCCAGTCTTACCGTTCAAATGGCACAATTCTATAGCGTAGTCTAGGCCTACATGAAATTTGTATTGGAATTTGATTTTTGTTTCTCGCATCTTTGGTTTCAACACACAACAACCTCATCTTAATATCAAGGAGAAATGCCTTGGTTTTTCTGGCTTAAGTTGTCAAATTACAGCACGTATGCAGTCGACCCTTTTCACAACAATACAGACGCCTAATTCGACAAAACGATCGTTTCACTTTCCACTGACAATTAAAAGATGCACATTGTGCTAAAGCCGAATGTGGGCAGGAATTCTGACAATAGACCATTATCATGTTGCAGCCATTTGATTTTTATCCCATTCAAATCGATGTACCGGTAATCAAAGCGAGGCTGGAAGGGAAAAAAGAGTCTGGTTCCTTTTTGCACAAAAACATTATCATTCAGTACTGTTATTGGATACAGGGAACATGAATACAATGTGGAAGCATGACAAAGGTCTATAAGTCCAATAGAACGACTTTAACATTACTACTTTCAAATTGAAAAGAAATGTTAAAGTGCTTTGGCAAGTGCGATAACTTCCAAATCCACACGAATTCCTATCACTGTTTCGATATCAAGGATTGCTCAATGGAAACTCATGGGAAGGAGGTTAGTTGGAGCGGAAACACAGTTGATTGGTCAGAAGTTAGTCACGAGGTCGCGTAAGCTGTGGTGGGTCAATGCAGCCACTTCCCATAGACCCGTGTGTTATTTCCACACGACTATGGCTTGCAATTACCCTTGCGCCGATGGAAGCAGCCTCCAAGTTACCGCATGACAGCCGTAGCCTCAAGTAATTCGGGCGCACTTCAATGGGAAAGTAGTCCCAATTGAGAGCCGATCACGTTCATCCTTGCTCACTCTTCAACCAAGGACGTGCTTACAATGCGTTCACAAACAAACCAGATTCGATTGGATTAAACAATGTTCGAGTGTCTATAAGGACAACATGCTGCAACAGTATATAGTTATTATGGGAAATTGTGCCTTTAGGAGACATTCCCATGAGACTTTAGCACAAACACCCGAACGTTAATGACACTTAAGCCGAACCTAAACTTAACCCACCCTCACCAAATGTTGTAAACTTGTTTTGTTTTTTTGCATCACGATGAATCGATTTAGGCCATTTGCGCCCAGAAAATAAAATTATGCCTAGAAATAGGACTTGAAACATTAGGGAGACATTCCATAATTTAAATAACAGTAAATTCATGGCTTCGAACGAACTGAGGATAATATATTATTTTTTAATTAACTTCAAAAAACTATATTGTTTACCACGTCTGATCCATAAACAGATCAAATTCTATTCATCTCAGTTCAAGCAACAATACAGCACGACGATCCTCTGAACTATATTCTCTTTTCAATATAAACTGCCCTCGATACAGGGCGCAACGCATTTTTACCATGATATGACGGATGTTTGGTCATGTTCTTGTTGAGAAAATACTGCACCATTCATAATATAGCGCAACTTTTGTTGTGATTGCATCATCGTGTATCGCCGTAGTGATCAGAGCCCCGCATCATCAATATTCATAACCTGCTGGAGGCGCTGTCCCGAATACGCGTCATTGATAGGTTCAACTCATGACGTTTGGCGCTCATACGTCATCAGCGCGACGACCCGTGGGTGGAAAGCAGCATGCGAGATCGGAAAGGCCCATACTGATCAGAATCACGTAGATCTCGTGCAGTAAACAGCATCAAAATAGTCGAATTCTGCTCACAGAAATGGCGCCAAACGACAGCTTTTTGCCCGAATACTGCACAGACACGACCAGTCTGTGGGTTTTTGGCTACGGTTCCCTTCTCTGGAAACCAAATTTCGAGTATTCGACGGTGGAAATCGGTCATGTCAAGGGGTATGTTCGGCGGTTCTGGCAGGGCAACACGACGCACAGAGGAGTGCCAGGAAAGGTAAAACAGACTTGAAGATTTTTGCCTAGAATTTCAGTTATTTTACCATTATAAATTACCAAATGAAACAATAATTATGCAGTCATTACATATTGTTGTTTAGGTGCCATCTTTTTATCATAATTGAACACTGAAGACTAAAAAAATGACGATAATTTTTCTTTCGTCTTTTTAACAGCCTGGAAGAGTCGTCACATTAGTTGAACAAGCCGAGGTAAGTGTTGTTCCTTCTTCGTTTCCTTTCTCAGATAAGAGTTGTACCATGACAAATGTCTTTTGTTTATGGGAGTATTCTTTCTCCTTCTCCCGATGAGCTGGAAAATCACATTGTGACTGGCCCAGGGTCCCAACAGAAACTCTGAAAGAATTTGTTCTCGAATCGAAGGTAAAATGTCCCCGTGATTGATGGAATCAATAATTTCGTTGCCAAGCCAAACATTTTTTTGATAACAGAGTACGAACCATGAGCACGTCTGATAGAAGTTCGTACAGTGTTTGACGTTTCTAATTGTAAACGTTAGATTAAAACAAAAGGAGCAGGTAGGCTATTCGAAACATCCAATATTTTCAAATTATGTATTGACATTTTCTCTGTAACTTCCATGTACTTTAAACGCTGGTCAAATTACGACACGGGATCTATCATTTCAAAAAAAAATATTACTACATTGTATTCTGTTTGATAAAAAGAAAAAAATACGGTATTTAAAAAAAACTTAACTTTTGGTTCAAGGTCCACGACGATGAAACGAATTAATTTTATCTTTTAACATTTGTCAGAACATTTCTATTACATATTTCGCTCCGAAACCAATTTACATTCCATAGATCACGGGACGTTACAGTCTGAGAAGTCATTTCCGCCATGCGTCAGAAAATATTTTCAGAAACCCAAACACCACATCCTGTTTTGTTTTCGTTTGGACAGAGTTTGAGTCAAGAATGTCTCAAGATTCCATGACATTCCGTTGCATGTGACGCGGTATTTTGTTTTGTTTATTATTTCCGCTGACTGACAGGTCGCGGGTTTTTGCCCACGCACCCATGTGTATTTTTTTTTATGAATGAATCCCCAAAATACTACTACGCCCACCCACACGTCCCAAACCGGCTTCGCGGATCAGGAGCACGTGGAGTTGTTGACATGACGCACGCACATCGGTCACATGATGCACTTCGCAATGACGTATGTGTCACGTGCATGGCCTCTAGCTGATTATCTGGAACTGTTTTGGAAGCGCTGGCGCGGTTAGGTTTTTCGGGGAATTTATACTCGGCATCTTGATTTACGTAATGAAAAAGGGGAAAAGAATTAGAGGTGTTTTCCAAAAGTAAAGTGTATGGTTGTATTGCCATCTTTGATTATATTTAACAAACAAAATGACGAAACATAATGGCGAACCAAAAAATGGTATGAAAATTCGTGAGTTTGTAAATTATTCTTGTGGCTAAAAAGAATAACTTGGATTCACTGAGATGTCAAAACAAAGTATCATGCAAGACTTACAAGTAAATGTTTGTGTAATTACCCTTTTGAATTTGCAAGATACGGATAAACCTTGACAATTACAACCAACTTTTTTTTTTAATGTTGTCTTTTTTAATCAGTATCCCGATTCGGCGCACCATAACGTACGTGACAAGGAAACCGCGTGTCATACATACCAGGATCACAAACACAATTTTCACAAACTTGGAAGTTTTGGTTACGTAATGCTATTCGTGATATCATACTTCTTCGTTATTAACAGCCTTTACAAAATACCCCGCACTCGGAAAAATCATATCCCAGGCTAGCCAATAGATTATCAAGTGGTAGACCGTGGGAACTGGTCGAGATTTGAAGGGGAGGCACCGCATATGTGGTCTGGCCCAAGGCCTGGCTATAGCAAGGTGTTTGGTAATGTGATGGGGCTATTGATTAATCGCCCATATTGCAGTGCTCGATCGATAGATTAGAGGCGGCACGGGGATTATTCTTTATATATGAATATATCGGCTATTATAACAGTTTCAGCCTGTTTTGCCTGATGGACTTGGTCAGAGCACATAATCAAAACATTGACATGTGTGGCCGTAGGGTATCCATTGGCTATCAATTTTGGTAGGATATAGGCAGGATATAGGTTATGTCAAATTAAGAATTATTTCTATTGAAGCCTATAGTTTCTCTGATGCTGAAAGAAATTGATTTTTGTTATATTTATACAATATATATTTTTTAGAAAAAAATGCTAGGTAATTTATAAACACGCACTCTTATAAGTTATCACCAATTCATGCATTATGTTATTTTGGTACCATATTTAAAGTATACCTATACTTTAAAAATGCGCATTTTCTCCCTAACTTTGGTTGTATACCGCATCAATGACTGCAATTTTTCTGTAGCAAATATCTTATTAACCATACCGGAAATCCTTTTCTCTCATTTTGGGATGCGTAAGTTCCAAATCAAGACAACTGTCGATCTTATGAGAGGTAAAATGGAAAATACTCATTAACCATAAAGATTTGTTTTGCTACCAACTTTCCTTAATCTCCTAAAATCCTCCACAGTCGAGAATTGTTTGCATTTGGATGTCTTTGTAAGTTCCACTCTGTGTCTAAATCTCAATTTTTAATATATTTTCTTTTCAAACCCCGCACAAAGATGGTTTTGTTTCAAAAGACAAAGACACACAGAGAGCTTGTAGGAAAGCTAAGTGCATCCATATATAGATGAACAGAAACTAGATGGAGAAATAATGTGTTTACTGAGAACAGGGGTGGATCCAATTATGGTTCAAGAAGGGGGGGGGGGTTAGTTGTCAATGAGGGTTAGTAGGTATGTGTTACTTCTGCGTAAATTTCCTAATTTGATGCGAGCCGGGGGGGGGGGGGGGTTGCCCCAGATCTGGCACTGAAGAATGGACAAAACAACCTAAAAGCTGACAGCTTTAGATGAAATTTTAGAATTCACTGTTCTGGACATATTCTGGATTAACCAACTTCAAATAACTTTATTTACACGCTGGAATTTCATTATGTTCAATTCATTAGTAAGTGATTTAAGGAAAACAAAGGATCAACTGAGTGCATAGATTGCAGTAAATAATTTTACATGTAAGACATAAACAACTAAAACCTTTGAACATTTGGCTTTTCTCCAGACAACAATTGTTTACAAAAATAGAGAAATGCAAAATTCACTTATGTCACAATAGGATCCTTAATTGAACCGTTGACTTTAATATACATGTATATGCATCAATTTAATCATGTATATTTTGTGTTTATACCAGCAGTGTGCATAAACGAATCCCATTTTAACAAATATAAAAAAAAGTTCAATGTTATAAGTAATATGGTCGCCCAAATGCAAGTAAATGTAAAACTTTGCTTATTTTCACAAGTCATTTGACATTTACACATTTCCCCTGAATCTGGAAATTGAAAAAGATGATATTGAAATAGAAAGAAAAACAACAATACAAGTGAGAAAATGCTATGTTTATAATGGTTGAAATGCTAATCTTTTTTTTTTTCAAAACATCATTCCTGTTATTATGCAACACTTCCACTCAACCCCTAAAAGTTGCTGGTATTATAAAACATACATACCTCTGAAATCCTACATGCGTTTATGTCACATCTAGGCTTCTAGAAATTGCAAAACAAAAACAACCTAAACTTTTAGTGTGTATTCAAAGGACTTGTACATGATTTGTAAAGACTGCATCTTTCAGTGACAGAGACTTTTAATTACTAAAAAACATATTGTTTGTAAATACAATACCATGCTCCCTATATCTGAGCACAATTCAGTACTTAGTAAACATAACATAGAAACAATTTTCCAAGAGCATCGCGATGCATCGTTGTTTTGTGCTGAAGTTTTTAAATAAAAATAATGACTGACTGAATAAACTTAAATGAACCATGTACATGGCAACTTACTCCAAGATTTGTGAATTCACTGAAAAAGAAAAGCGCTGCAGTTAACAGATTAAGCTTTGAACGTAGCCAGGGACTCTACTCCATGGTGCTAATGCCACAATGCAATGATTTTTCCCCTCTCTTTTATTACAGATTGGTCCATAGTCAGTGTAAAAACAAAATCTCAATTTTTATATAAAGGTTGAACACGTTTCAACTCCAGCAATCTTGGCAACGGATGTTTCATGACGTCAAATTCACTTTGGGTTTGCCTTCATTTTGCTGGAAGTATGAACCGGTCTTTAAACAACAACCTTAACCCCCCCCCCCCCCAAATTACTTGTTAAAAGTTCCAAGTACTGAGTGATTTCATGTCTCATCTATTTTCTATGTGCCACAGGGTGTGACGTGGGGTATGGCCTTCCTTCTCCAGGGTGAAGCACAAATTCTAGCAGCCCTTGGCCACTTGAACACCAGGGAATGCAGACTGGGTGGTTACACATTCCAGAACACCACTTTCTACGCCAGGGCTGGCTCGCAACACGACGTGGTGGTCTACACCGCTACGCCGGACTGCCCCCACTACATGGGCCCCGCCCCGGTGCACACTATAGCCACAGAGATCCTGAGCTCCCGGGGGATGAGCGGACACAACATGGAGTACCTGTTCCAACTGGCGGAGACCGTACGAAGACTGATCCCGGAGGATGAGGACAATCATCTCTTTGAGTTGGAATCTACAACCAGGAGATTGCTTCACCGTCTCAGCTCCCGAACACCATCCCAAGAAATCTTTGCTCTTCCTGTCAAATGCACAGATGAAGATAATAATAACAATCTTAAAGCATGGCCATCTAGTACATCTACTCTTACCATCAGCCATTAACAACAATTATCAGTATTTTGGATATTTTTTATTTATGTTAGTAGAGAGAAAAGATCTGTATCATTCTTCCATCGATGTAACAGCACCTGAGGCCATGTGAAGTTCAACAAAAGTTAAAATGTCAATGAAAATGAACTACGCATGAAAAAAAAGCTGTTGACTGCACTTGTCATAACAAAATACACAGGGTAAAATGGAGCAGACACATGGCAACAGTAAACCAAAAACAAGGTTATATATGAAGTTTATCATCTTGGCCAGTAAATGTACATAGCATTGTAATATAAAGATGTAGATATTGAAAAAAAAAATATTTATTTTTATTTATTTAAAAAAGTGTATATGGACAATAAACACTTTGCATGAATATAACTTCTAAACGGCAAACATTTCCTCTAACATTTCCAGCTGTTTCATATTCATGTAATTCTTTTGTGTGAACCTGCGTGTTCCCTCCTGTGCATGTTGTATTTTGTGTGTGTATCTCTGTGCCTTGAGCATCTAATCAAGGTGGATCTGGGGCATTAAAAAAATGCTCTGTATTATTATTATTAATGTGAAATATCGGCAAATGCAAATAAGCCCTGTCCCCAATTTCAATCTTGCACAGCTGTTGTGAATGGCTGTTGTGGTGCTACTGTCATGTTCACAAAGACTTCAAAAGCGACTGAATTACCTTGATGAGTTCATGCTAATGAGACGTTTTTATTATGGCATTAAGCTGAATGAAAAATATCAACAAAATTGCACAATTTAAACATACCGTCTATTCTAAAGAAAAACACTTTCAAAAGCTATCCCTAAGCTCTGGCCAGAAATTAAGCCATCTAGATATAGATTCATGAAACTGACCTTGAAACAGTCAGTATTATTTGTTTGACATTACTTGGGGGCATAGTACATATGTTGCCACTTAAAAAAATAACTGCACAATGATTTGTTTTGTTTTGTTGTGTTTTTAATTTAATTTTTAACAGAAGAATGTTCCTGTCCAGTGCCTGATTTTCATGTCAGGCACACTTTGCAGGCATGCAACTTTCCCCAGGATCCTCTGATTTCCTCATTTTTGACTTCTCATGAATGCCATTACAAATTGAAAAACACTGTGCAAAGTCTTGTGTGGTTTGGAATGTCCTCATTTGTTCTAAATTCCTAGTTACATGCCTGACTTTGGGAATAACACTCCAAGATGCACTGAATGCAACTTCTGTGTTAGAGCCAAGACATATCTTGTTTCTGAAATACATTGACTACTTTTTTTAAGAAGATTTTTAACTTTGATTTAATTTTATTGTTGTGATGTGAAAATATTCTGAATGGCTGACAACCAGCTGTATATGTAGTGGACCATACCAAAGGTGCTTCAAATGCAATATTCACATGTTCGCTTCATTAAAACAAAACCAAAAAATATTCTTGCAAATGCATTCTGATGTGTGTTGTTTTATTTGTGGTATTTGTTTTTCTCCAGAGGTTGGGAGTTGGGGTATGGGTAGGTGCTAGGGTGTTGTGGGGTGGGGGTGGGGTGGGCAATTTGAAAGTAGAGACTCATTTCAGGAGGTTTTTAGAATTTTTAAGAAGCTTGCCCTCTTTTCATCACGTATTACAAAATGATACTGATTTGGTAAAACAAAATCTGGTCCGATTATGCATTACTATTTCTCCAGGAAGCACTCTTGATGCCAGTTATGAGAGTGTCGGCAAAATGGAACATCAAAGACAACGAGAGTGGTGGAAAACCTCCCCAATCTCTGTAGGAAAATTGTTGATGAGCACTATCTATTGGGCAGTTTGTCATCGCGCCGCTGACACTGCCCGTGAATTAATGACGGCAACACAATCTCTTCAAATATTGACCCACGATCCCCTGGAAACACACAAACAACCCTAGACCTGCAAGAAAAACTGTCACAACACCCGGCCCCCAAAACCGACTGAGGGAACCGGCCGGCATTCTGGCGACTGAGCGGTGGTTGGTACATGGAGGGATGGAAGGGGGGGGGGGGTGTGAGCAGATAAAATCCTGTAATTAAAGTGTTTTGAGGAGATGCAAATTAGCAGGGAGACACTTGCCTCATTAATTAAACACAGGGACTTGACACAATTACGCCGACAATGAAGCATCGCTCGCTAGCTGCACCCGGGGAAAACCGTTGCCAGGCAAGCTTTTGTGCAAAACAAGTGAAGCTAATCCTGGCGTGGTCGCTTTGTGAGAGTGCACTTTCCGTTTCTATGAACGGTTGGGGAGGGAGTTGCCAGAAAGGCGACGGCAAATGCACATCAAATGGCGATATTAAAAATTCAGCATTGTTGTCGACAAATACATTATACAAGGATCCAAGAATAGTTCAAATTTTTTTCAATGAGGGGAAAAAACACACGCATTGCACTACAAAAGATCACCCCCATGAATGCTTTGACATTTACATTTTTCCCTCCAAAAAGTGGAGTTATCTTTAATTGAACACCCCCCCCCCCCATTCCCATTTAAAACCAGTTTGGTATTCAGAAGTGCTTCCACACTTCATGATTTCAAAATTTGTTTCGTAATAAATTTTCGTTGAACACCAAGCCTTTCAAATCATCAAAGCTTGATACACACCACTAAACCCATTTATTTCAAACAACATGAGGCGGCAACTTCTGGAAGCCAACCACACCAGAGATGTTGAAAGAAACTTACAATTGATGAGCTGGGCGGAATAACTGACAGTGTCTCGTCCCAATCCCTCCACGACCAGACACGGAGGGAAGCACATACTCTATGCATCATCCATTACAGACATACATACTGACACGCCACAACCAAAAGCCTCATCATTCTTTTCACAATTCCAGTTTTTCCTCCTCATACATCATTGAAAACTATATCCAACCCTCCTTCGAATTTGAGTAGGTCCCAAAGATTTGAAACACATTAAAAAGTACAATGAATGGACTACTCCTACAGACTAACAAATCTGTACCTAGGTGGGGACGGGGTGATGTCATCCGATGAAAACATCTATTCATTTGCAGACTAGTTTTCATCAGTTGCTATGTGTTACCATTCAGCACACCAGACTCAAGAACCATTGAGTTTCAAGAACATAGGTCTGGGAGCTAGATAAGCCAATGTAAACAATTCCCGGATGTTCACGCCCACCTATTGCTAGTCAAAAGCCTTCTCTATTAAGGGCAAAAAACCTGAACTAAAAACTTGTGGCAAACTACGTCTACTCACATACTCACACTCATTGAAAAGAGACTGCACCACAACACTGTCTCTTACCACTAAGTTAAACTTCATCAAAATGACTTGGCTATGGCCTGCATTCACACATAAGCCTATGGACGCTGCTGAAGTCACAGTCCCATAGATGTGTGTTACTGCTGGCCAAGGAGGAGTAATTCCGATACAGCCTTTGCTTGTGTAAGAACTATTAAAATTCAAAGTTTTACCACTTTGCAACCAGCATTTGGAGTCCATGCACTTTACAGTAGAAGCCCCAGTGAGGAGGTCTGGAACACACTGCATGTGCACACTGGTTTGTGCACGCATTGCATACACGTGGATGCGTTTAAAACAGTTATTTCTGTGACTGAAGCGTCAGTATATGACACTAAACAAGATGGTGAATAGCTGCAGCACTATCTCCAAAATCATAGCTTCTGGCCTAAACCTGATACCTGTAATTTAGCTATTATAAATTTGTGTGAAAACCAAGATGGCTGCCAGAGTGGAGGTCAGTAGATACATCTTTTTATTCTCTCCCGTCCCCAGCAACGCATCTTCCTGATGCGTTTAGCAACCAGTAATCTCCTCCATATCCCTGATAAAATCTTGCAATAACCGTCTTGAATCTTGGCTCTTGTCCAAGACTAATGCCCCCCCCCCCCCTCACTACACACTGACAGATTGATACAGCAAATAGCACCAGCGCCGGGAAAACAGAGAGGACTATTGAATATTCAACGACCTGTTTTCTGAGAAATCGGCAGAGCAAACTGGGTTGAATCTTTCAACCTGGCGAGCAAATTACTTGACCAAATGCACAAGTGCACGAGATATGCCCACACAAACCCAGCTGAAAAAACCCAAAGCTGTACAACTCTATGTCCAATTGGATTGCAAATGGATACATGTGTTGTTTTAGCTTTAAAAAAAATCCAGATTGTTCATTGCAGGATAAAATAGAAAGTGCTGTGCCCCCTTCCTGATCATGTGATTTTGTTCTTTGAAGGAAACACTTGAAATGTTTGCAAAAGATTGTTGAGCCACAGTGGCAAAAATAAAAAGACACTGAAAGAGTTTTAATTAATCACACAAACTAATGTACTGTGGAGTACCACAATTTGAAATATCAGATTTAGGCCTATCCGAAATTGCTTGGCTACGACTGGCACTTGTACATGTGACTATGGGAAGTGGCTTCAATCAATCCATTAGACGCATGTGTCATCACAAGCCGTAGCCAAAGTCATTTGGATGCGGCTTAATCTTAAAGACATCCGTGAAGCAAATCACAGTATCTCTTGACTCGCTCAGTTTGGGATGACACGATTGAAATCATCCCAGCTGATGTTATCAGTGATCCTCTCAACAAAGTCTGAATTTGAAAGAGATCCGCCAAACTGATTATTCCCTAATTGGAATAATTATAACGGTAATGGACGAACAGCCACATATGTGGGGGTTACAGTATTGTAAACAATCTTGAGAATGGGCGGGGCTAAACAGAAGGGTTTCAAAAAGGGGGGTTTGCAAGACCAATAACTAAATTTCAAGACATGTATCTATGGCTCCTGCTCCAGTTATGTGAAAAAAGTCCATCACAATTCTGGTCGCAAGTAAATCATAAGTCAAATGTACCACAAGACATCTTATTTAATTGTCATGTACAACTTTTACTCAACAAATGATTATATTTTGTTGAAAAGCAACATCAAAATGTTCATGAAATACTTTTTTTTTAATAAAATGTTGGTTTTTTAGACAAAAAAGTTTGGTTTGCTTTTAGATGACTCTATTGTAATTATTTTGAACAATGGGAGTAGTTCAAATGCCCATAACATAAACTAGACTCCAAACATGCTCAGAGAGGGCGCTTTATGCAGCCGATCCAGAAATGCCTGGGCAAGCCCCTTCTCTTTATGATAAGTGTCCTGGATGTTATTATGTTTTATTACACAATGCACAGTTTTACGTCGAGGGCTAAGATGAAGGAGTCCAATCGTGTCCCAGACAAGTCACCAACCAGGACAATACATGGAATGGTCTCCCATCCAACTACTGACCGCAGTAAACGGTGCTTAACTTGGCAGTTATACACTGGCTCTTCCATTGAGCTAACTGTCACGGAGAATGCAACTTTAAAGGGAAAATACAACATTTACAAACATCAAAAAATAAAATTACCAAATTAGTTTGAAATGCCTTTCTAGACTGTAAGTGACTGACAGTCTAAAGCATCTTGTAAAATCATGGCACCTGGTTTATTTTCCAGAAAAGTTGTATTTTCGTATCAATTTCCAATGCTGGTCGGCCGAGCAGCGTTGAAAAAAATACTGGCCCAAATTGACCATAGTTACCTAGTCCACAATTGTTTGCAATCGATTACACACCTATGAACGGGTACAAGCCAGCTAGACTGGTTCCCTGGCCTTACAATTTCCCAACGTCTATAAATTGCTCCGTTTCATCTTAAATGGAGTCAGGGAACCAGCCTACATAAAAAAAAACGATTGTTTTTCTTGGTTTTTATAGCATCTACGAACCCAAAACATCAAAAAAATCATTGTA